AAGGGGGCGCTGCCCTGGGGGGGTGAAGGGGGCTGGGCGGTGTGGAGGGGGCACTGCCCCATGGGGAGGGGTTGGGCTGTCTGCAGGAAATGGGTGGCATGTGTGCTTTGTCGGATGTTGCAGAGCTCCTTGGGGTGGACGTTACATCTTAGGGCACTGAGGTGTGTGGCTGTTCCCCCTACCTCCTGAAGGGTTTTTTCCCCATTGAGCTCTGGTTCATGTTGCCTCTTCCCTATGTTGTGCTTTGGGGCCTCTCCTGGCATCATTTTCCTTTTTCTTGGGACTAGGATGGGAATCCACGGCCTGGCCAAGCTGATTGCAGATGTGGCGCCTGGTGCCATACGAGAGAATGATATCAAGAGTTATTTTGGCCGGAAGGTGGCCATTGATGCCTCCATGAGCATCTATCAGTTCCTGATTGCGGTGCGGCAGGGAGCAGACATGCTGCAGAACGAGGAAGGTGAGACCACCAGCCACCTGATGGGCATGTTCTACCGCACCATTCGTATGGTGGAGAATGGCATCAAACCAGTCTACGTCTTTGATGGCAAGCCCCCCCAGCTGAAGTCGGGTGAGCTGGCCAAGCGGACTGAGCGCCGGGCTGAGGCAGAGAAGCAGCTCCAGGAGGCCCAAGAGGCAGGGGAAGAAGACAATGTGGAGAAATTCAGCAAGAGGCTAGTCAAAGTGACCAAGCAGCACAATGATGAATGCAAGAAGCTGCTGACCCTGATGGGTATCCCATATGTGGAGGCGCCAGGTGAGGCTGAAGCCAGTTGTGCCACTTTAGTGAAGGCTGGCAAGGTCTATGCCGCTGCCACTGAAGATATGGACTGCCTGACATTTGGCAGCCCCGTGCTGATGCGGCACCTCACGGCCAGTGAGGCCAAGAAGCTGCCTATCCAGGAATTCCACCTGAACCGCATCCTTCAGGACTTGGATTTAACTTGGGAACAGTTTGTGGACCTGTGCATCCTTCTGGGCTGTGACTATTGCGAGAGCATACGTGGCATTGGGCCCAAGCGTGCTGTGGAACTCATCAAGCAGCATAAGACCATTGAAAAGATTGTGCAGCAGATAGACACCAAGAAGTACCCCCTGCCTGAGAACTGGCTGCACAAGGAGGCCCAGCAGCTCTTCCTGGAGCCTGAGGTAGTGGACCCTGAGGCAGTGGAGCTGAAGTGGAGCGAGCCAGATGAGGATGGGCTTGTCCTTTTTATGTGCGGGGAGAAGCAATTCAATGAAGAACGGATCCGCAATGGGATCAAGAGGCTAAGCAAGAGCCGCCAAGGTAGCACTCAGGGCCGGCTGGATGACTTCTTCAAGGTGACTGGCTCCATCACCTCAGCCAAGCGTAAGGAGCCACAGCCCAAGGGCTCAGCCAAGAAGAAAGCAAAGGGCAATAGTACAGCAGCAGCAAAGTTCAAAAGGGGGAAATAACCAGACCTTCTAGAACTGTCCTAGTTCTCTTCCACTCCCAGATCCCCTAGGGGTTTAAATTTGGTAGAAGATCCTGTATTCTTCCTGCACTGCTCTGAGTTATACCCTGTGGGGCACAATGGTGTCTGTGCTGCTTCTGCTCCTCCATAGAGTGCTTCCTTGTCCGAGAACCAGAGGGCAGTCTTGTAGTGCAGAAGCAGTATAGGCACAACGGGGAGGGAGGAGAGGGACAAAATAGTGGAAGGGTGGGGCAATTAGGAGGAATGGGAGAGATTGACAAACGCAGGCATGAGGGAGCTGCACTGGCAATCCATTGACCGTATTCATCAGCTTTAGGCTTACTTTATCCAAGGCCCATAAGAATTGGGGGGGTGCTGCAGCAAGTGTGCATGGGCAACACCTTGTGTTATTCTGAAGCAGTCTTCTCTGACTGAAGGAGTGTTGCTTTCTAGCTATAATGAGAGCCAAACCCAGATACTGAAAAGGAGCGTGTCAGCCAAATGGACAAAGAAATCTGCTCAAAAAGAACATGGAAGGAATGGAGATGGAAGCAGAAAGTGGGGAAGAAATGCACGAAATCCAAATGTGGCAGATGGAGGAGAGTGCTACAGAAAGAAAGAAATTTCATATTTTAATGGGGATTCTCTATGGTCTTTCTTTACTTGTCCGTATGTATTAAATTGGTAATTAAGTGATTGACAAAGAGAAAACATAGACATTTAAAATCCTCTTGGATTTTTAGACCCTATTTATAGAGCTATTTAATGGTGGAGGGAAACTCTCTTTCCCCCTACAAAAAGTAATTCTTGAAGTTTAGCCCTCTGATGCAGATTATTTTGGTTCCACTCGAGACCCCAGTCCTGCCCTGGTTTGGTTCCAATGTGTAAACCAGGAGTTGCGAAGGAATTGTTATTCCTTAGGCTTAACATTTGTCACTGTTTTATTTCTGTTTATTTTTGAATAAAAATATAAATAAACCTAAAAATGGAAAACTGTTCAGTTAATTCATATTTGAAATGACTTCTTGACCATAGCCCATTCCAAAGAAAAAGTAGAGGAATAATGCAAGGTGAGAAAAACCTTGACATTGTCCCAGTCCTTTCCACAAGCTGCTTTCATTTTAGCAGAAATTTAGCAGACTGGAATGGGAAAGAGATAGGAAGATCAACATCTTTCCCTGAAACCTTTCTGTCTGCTTCTCTAAGCTGTACAGGCTGCCTAATGCTATTTGTATTTTCCATTCTAAAAGTGCTGTACAAACATGAATTTGTTTCTCTTGTGTGGTAGCATCTCATTTTCCATATCATTACAATGGGAAAAGAGAGACCGACGAATTGGTCCACTCATGTGCAAGAGTGCAGATTCAGCATGGGCCTTGGGCATAAGGAGATCTGAATTTTCAGTCCTTGCTCAGAAGGTAATTTGGTGTGGGTTTTATACAAGTTACATTCTCTGAGATTCATTTTTCCCCATTCATAAATGGCTTATTTTAAGAGGGATAAGGGATCTTTCGGAAAAGTCTTTATTTTCCGAAAGAACCACATCTAGACTGGCGCTTTTTTCCGGCAAAGCTCCGAGCCGGAAAAAAGTGGCAGCCCTTTTTATTCTAATGAAGCGGGGGGGATTTAAATCCCCGCTTCATTTGCAATTGCGATATGTCTGATTTGCATCCCTTTTACGGAAAAGAGATGCAGTCTAGACACAGCCCAGGTGTTCACAATCACAACGTCCGAACACGTATAAGACTTTAGTTGAGAAAGCCATGTTAATCCCAAGTCTCTGCTAGGACTGGGAGATGTGGGTGACCTATAGAAAACACCAGCATTTTCTTTGGAAAATCTGCAACAAAACGTGGGGTGATCTATCACATCATTAATGCCAACTCCTTCAGAGTTGAGGCTCTGATTATCTAGCACCAGCTGAGGTAGAGCGGGCACTGTGTGCATGTCTGATATATTTTTACCAAAACTCCTGCCTGCCCAACTCGCCAAAGGAGAAAGGAAACAGGGAGGCCAAAAGGAATGGTATAGAGCAGCGTTTCTCAACCTTTTTTATAAGCTTCAGAGGGGTAGCCGAATTAGTTTGTAACAGGAAAAACTTAAAAAAACAACAAATAGTCTGGTAGCACTTTAAAGACTAACAAAACATGTAGATGGTACCATGAGCTTTCGTGAGTGGAAGAGGTTTTAGCCCACGAAAGCTCGATACCATCTACATGTTTTGTTAGTCTTTAAAGTGCTAGTAGGCTATTGTTTTTTAAGTTTTTTCCTTTCTTATGAAGTACCTTTTTTAAAAAAAATATATATAAGTACCCACAATGCACCCACTCCTCCCCCAGAGCCAGGCACCCCCATCCCAATACATCCACCCCTCACCCAGAGCCAAGTATCCCAGCCTAATGCACCCACCCCTTCCCCAGAACCAAGCACCCCCAACCAAATCCCTCTCCCACAGAGCCATGGAAGGGAGGGGTAAGGTAACCATACCTTTAAAGCGGCTGCTCCTGTCCTCCCGCCCAGCTGCCTCAGCTTGATTGCAGTTCATACAGGGAACTGGCACATAGTCCTCCAGGTGCTCCCGGCTCACTGCTATGCATGCCTCAGCCCGGCACCCCCCTAGCATGGCACCCAGGGACAACTGCCCCCCCTTGCTACATCTCTGCAACTCTTCCTATACCCCTCCCCCAGGCCAGAATCCTCTCTTGCACCATACCCTCTCCTGGACCCTGCCCCAAATTACAACCCCCTCCTTCACCCAAACTCCCTCTCAGACCCCACACTCTCTCCTGCACCTCAGTCCCCTCCCCTCAAGCTTCCTTCTGCACTCACCTCTGTCCAGATCCTGCACCCCCCATAGAAGTGTGGGCCATGACCAGTTACCAAATCTTTTAGCGCCCCCCCTATTAAAAATGATTGTCCATCCCTGCGTTAGACAGTTATCATCTATCATTTTTAGAAACTCCAAGCAATTTTTACTAAGAGCAGTATGAGTCCCCCAAGTTGAAATCCCCATAATGAAACAGTTTTGCTTGCTATACTTTACAGTTAGGGCTCGAGTTCTTCATGCTCTTCTCTTCTCTGACCCGATGGTCTTAAACAGATTGTTACCTGCATGCTGTGTTGTGATTTGTCACTTTGCGCATTGATCCGGGAGTATTCCAGCTCCTGTGGTACTGAACTGTCAGTTACTCTAAATCAGGTCATGATATCGTTGAATCCGAGAGCCACCTGCTGCCCCTTCTGCCCAGACTATGTTTAGAAAATAGCATGAATCCAAAACGTACAACATTACAGTCATGTGAATCCCCCCCCCCCAGCATGTTTTAATAACATTTATGTCAAATTTATTTTTAGAAATTAACATTTCTAATGCCTCTTATAATCACAACGAGGCTTGCTGTATGGGCAGTTAAAGAATAGCTTACATATGCATCTGTTGATACCTTGATCCTTTATGTTCATGCTACCTTGAACCTGAGATATGTTTGTGTAAATGTTTGGTGTTTTCCCTTAACACTCTCCTGTTCTGTTGCTAGTTTAATACTGACAAGGGAGTGTGAGTCATAAAAGAATGAAGTAGGGGAGGATTAGAAGAGCTACATGTGATGTAATATTCCATGTGTGTTATGAAAATATTATGATATGAATTTACTATGTATTTGAGAGAGTTTTTCTGAGTGAGTGAATCTGTCTGTCCGTCCGTCCATATGTTCAAGAACTCCTCCTAAGTTGTAAAAACTAGGACCACCATTGGTATGCTGCTTCTGCTCATCATAACTTAAAGCAAAGTCCCCTGTCCAGGACTGCTCCAAACTCGAATCTCCCAGCCCCCAGATCCCCTTTAGGGAGGGTGGGGGAAGGCTGCAGCTCCCCTCCCAATTTATACTAGAAGTTTGCTGGCTGTTCCCCTTTTGTCAAGGAGGTAGGGGAAAGTTCAGTTTGCTCAATTCCTCACTCTAGCTGGAGAGTGCAGGGGGCAGATAAGCCTGGACTTGCCCCAGCTGGGGGACATGCACCCCTCCCTCAGCTGTGCCCCACTGGAGCTGCAGCAGCCATGGAGCGTCATTTCTCACTTGGCCCTAAGCTACTGGTCTAAGGGAGGTCTGGGGCGGTCTTCTCTGCACACGGATCCCCTCCTACCCAGCCCCACGCCAGAGCAATGACTGAAATGAAGGAAAACAAGAGTGAATTGAGTTAAGGACCTGAGCAGTGCCAGGACTAATCCACAGAGAGGTCAGACCGTTGTCACTTCAGTTCATGGTGTGTCGGTCAAGGTGGTGGTTGTCATATATCCACTCGTATTTTAAGGCTCTACTGTCACACCTCAGAGAATGGAGCCTCTCTAGAAGCACCGGATGGGGGGAGGGAAAAAGCCCTGCTGGACTGAGGATGGGGAAGCTCCAGCTGGCTGGGGGTGGGGGAGAATACAGTCTACAGCTAGGACACCTCACCCACACTGCATCTGAGCACGTCACACTCAATCAGAGGTGGCAACGATACCTGCAAGAGTGATTTTACACTGCGTGGCAAAATTCGCAATAATTTTTCACAACTGAACAACTTGCTCACATCCAGAACCCCCTCGTAATACTCATTGTGCCACAGAGTGAAACAAGTCTTAGAATGAAACCAGTCCCTCCTCCCCCCGCAAAGGTCTCATCGGCACCACCTGTATGTCAAGTATCAGAGGGGTAGCCGTGTTAGTCTGAATCTGCAAAAGTGACGAGGCGTCCTGTGTCACCTTATAGACTAACAGATGTATTGGAGCATAAACCTTCGTGGGCAAAGACCCGGGAAAGACTGCATCGGATGAAGTGGGTCCTTGCCCACGAAAGCTTATGCTTCAATAAATCTGTTAGTGTATAAGGTGCCACAGGACTCCTCGTCACCTGTATGTTGACTCTCAAATGCTGCTACAAGGAACCCAGTTGAAGTGGCCTTGTTCTGGCTCTGTACTTAGTGGTAAATTTCATGTTACCTGAGCAGAGGATGAATGTATCACATGAGCTATTTGTTATGAAGTATTTTCTCATCTATTATTCTTTTCACGATTCCTCTCTTCCTGTTATTTGTGCACTACAGAAACACGTGAAAAGCATCTCTTACTAGCTCGCTGGCCTCTTTGGAAGCACTGGAAAAGTCCTGGGAAAGAGCTTCCAGTGGGCATGTGTTACTGCACGTTATATTCCCACCTGTATCTGTAAGCACACACTATGCACTACTTCCAATGACCGCTGGAGGCCACTTTCGCCCAGAGGATTATCCTGCAAGTACCTTGTTAGAGAAAGTAATAGAGGGGCAGCCGTGTTAGTCTGATCTTGCTAAAACAAAAGGAAAACTATAATGCACTATAAAGAATAACAAGATGGTTTAAGAGGTGATGAGCTTTTGTGGGCCACACCCACTTCCTCAGATCATATTTTGGAAGAGAATTGGCATGACCATATATACCAAAGGAATACAGTGAAAAAAGTGAACACGTTATTAAACTGACAAATCAGATTTAGTACAGAAGTTGGGGTGAGGGGGAGGGAGGGAGGGAGATAATAGCTATTTATGAGTCAATGAATGGCTAATCAGGGGTGATAAGTGGGGAAGCTATCTTTGTAATGGATAAGGTAATTAGCATCTTTGTTAAGGCCCATTCGTAAAGTGTCAAATTTAAACTAATTTGTAAAGTGTCAAATTCAGAACTTTCTTTCATGCTTAACTCCCACTGTTAAAAATTGTGCTTTATATCTAGTCTGACTTTATCTAGCTTCAACTTCCAGCTACTGGTGCTTGTTAGCCCTGAACTGACATTTTTATTCTTCCTGTAGGTATTTATGGACCAGGGATGGGAAAAAGACAACCTGCAGACTGGATCCAGCCCACCATACATTTGGCTCTGACCCACAATGGCCCAGTGGGACTCTTCGGCAGGTTTCCTGGCTGCTGCAGCCCCACATATTGCTCCAAGCAGCCAGCAGCTAGAGTCAGCGTATGTACCTCTGTGCAGCTCCTAACCACTTACCAAATTCTTGGAATGCTCCCCTCTCGAAAACGATTGCCCCCGCCTGTTGTAGACTGTGATCCACTCACCCCTTTACCTTTTCTTCTTAAAGAAACACTTTGCAGACAGCACTTACCTGCATCTGCGTTTGGGGTTATTCCCCTTGTAGGCAGACACAGCTCTGCCGTTCCCCAGCTCCAGGTGAGAGTGGAGGGGAATGCCCATGAGGCCCATGTCCCTTGCCTCCTGTCCTACATCTCAGTGCATCCTCCAAGATTCCAAAAAAGAAAGTGTGTAAACGGAGGTGGGGCCTTACCCAAGCTGCAAGAGTCATCTCTGTGCTGTTTGGCACGAGTGAAGAGAGACTCTCTGCTCCACAACATGCGTACGGTTAGGGTTACATGTGGGCATGCACACGCCCATCCCCGGCCCTATGCCGCATGCACCTGCGAACAAGAGCTTTCAACCAACCAACTCTGGATCTGTTTAGAAGCTTTATTGAAGGCACCTGCAGGGGAAACATTCAGGGCCAAAGCCTTTGGAGGCTGGATCGTGCAGGGGAGTCATTCACCCTATGCGATGAAATGCAGCGAATGGCGCAGAGCCAGGGAGAAGGTGACCAATGAGATCACGGTGCAGTGAGTGACAGAGCTGGGTTCTAGAACGGCACTCCGAAATGGGATCCACCGTGCAGGATAGGGCTGGGTTTTACTTCTCAGAGAAGCTGCCGCTGGCACAGTCCCTCACAGGACTTCCTCAGGAGGCCCTTCGCTCGGTCTCTTCTTTGGGGTCATAAGCCTGATTGGTGTATGGTGGTGGAAGGGGAATTTGTGCAGAGGGAACCGCCAGATTTGCATTGGCAACATAGGGCCTGTACAATATGGCCTGCAAAACAAAAGCCCAACCATCATCTTCCGCACCCTCTCCAGTCTTGCACCATCATGTGCCTCATCAAATCTCAGCCCTCCTTGCTCATCCCACCACAACACATTTTTCAGCACTAAATCCATTGTCTTCCTCATCCCTCTAGTTCAGTGTTTCCCAACCTATGGGTCAGGACCCAAATATGGGTCGCCAAGTGTTTCACCAGGTGGCTCTGCCCTCCCTCCTCCCCCTGTTTTTTAATTGCTTTGGGTCACCAAGTCTTCCTGAATTGTCAAAATGGTCCCCATCGGGAAAAGGTTGGGAAGAGCTGATCTAGTTCTTATAACCAGGGCAGGTACAACCTGGGTGCAAATCTCCTGCAGCGATGGCATTGCACCAGGGATAAACTTCTGCCCCCATCACTGTGACCTGTGCCACCCATTTGCTATCCGTCAGATTCTCCCTGTGGAGGTGCATGGATCGCAAGTGTCACAGATCATGACCCTGGTGTTGTCTAGTGACAACATTTTGGATATGGACACTAGAAGCATTTTGGGGTCCTGACTGCAGCAGGTTTGCTGGGAGGCACTTAAAAGGGTTAATGTGCTAGGTTTCACTATGCCACAGAGGGTCCCTGTTAGGGCTGCTTGAAATTTTCCTGTCAAAAAGCTGATTTTCAAAGAACCCTCCCCCACCTCCAAATCCCAAACTTTTGTTCAACTCAGTGAATTTAGTCATGAAACACATTCTGTTTTCTGAGGGAAACAAACAGTGAATGCCCCAAAGCCAAAAATATTTCTATTTGGAGATGCTGCTGCAATGCTTCATGGGAGATGCAGTTTGGTTGCCTGGTGCCCCCATTCTTTATGATGGATTAAGCTCATAGGGTAGAATACATTTCCCACAATGCACCAGTGACTCCTAAGATGCAAGAACCTCCCCTCACTAAGAGGGGGGATGAGGTTCTAGGAGCCTGGCTGCAAGGGTACGTCTAGACTACAGGCTTTTGTCAACAGAGGCTTTGTTGACAGATACTGTTGACAAAGCTTCTGTCGACAAAGAGCATCTAGACTGCATCCAGTTCTGTCGACAAAGCAAGCCACTTCGTCAACATGAGAGTGTGGACGCAAAGGACAGTGTAGGTGCAATAACGCCTTTTATCGACAGAACTCTGTCGACAAAAGGCATTATTCCTCGTAGAATGAGGTTTACCGCTGTCAACAAAAGGGCCGAGTTCTGTCGATGTTATGTCAACAGAACTCGGCAGTAGTATAGACACTGGCAGTTTTGTCAACAAAAGTCCACTTTTGTTGACAAAACCCTGTCATCTAGACACACCCCATAGTCTAGACACTCCCCAAAGGAAAATGGCAACACGAGGCGTTCAAACTACATCTCCCATCAGGCACCACAGCAGCATTTCCAAATTGCAATCTTCTGGGTTTGTTGAAATATTTTGGTATTTTAATTGCTGCTGGAGGGTGAGGGGGGGAGGGAGAATCAAAAATATCTGTTGAAAAAATTAGACAAAAAAACAGGAGTTAACACCATTTTCAACAGTCTGAAAAAACATTAGCCTGTGTGTGAAACTACCTACTCCCAACTCGCAAAGGAAGGGCCAGGAGAACTGCTGCATGGGAGACAGCCAGCCTTTGAGAGTTACAGTCATCCCAGCTGTAAGCTGTACCCCAAACAAGTAGTTTCCAGTTGTCATTTATTTTCCTGTCTGGCAAGAAACATTGTCCCTGTGGGAATGTCCACAGCTGTAGCTTTTGGGAGGGGAGTTTGCTGCATCATAATTTCATGGCTGGTTCTCTGCTTGCCCCAGGCAGCTGCTCTAAAACACTGAGGCAGTGGCTACAGACAAGGAGTTGGCCGCTAGTCAGGTATTTCTGGAGCACAAGGGTCTCTGTCCGTGATCTCTGAACATCCCAGCCACCAACAGAGTGAGGGCTGGCTATGCCAGGAGGGAATTCTATGTCAAGGGAATTCTCTGCTGAGACATCCAGTGATTTTCAGGAGCACAAAAGGGTGGGATTGCAGCTCTGGGTCTGGCCCAGTTAGTTTTCTGTAGCCACTTCCTCCCGCCCCCCACATGGGAAGAGGAAATGCAGCCCCACGGATATTAAAACCCTGACAATGAAGAGCTATGTGGTGGCAGTGAAAACAGATTACTTCCTCCTCCCATGAAAGATTAATTGGCTTGGACTGTGGTGAATTAGGGTAAAGAGAGCCAGAAAGGGACAATTTGCTCTGCCACAAAATGTCAAACTTTTATCAACTGCCAACATTTTTTTATTCAACAAAGAGCCATGGTGCTGCCTAGAAGCTGTATTTTGGGTGCCTTATACATATGGGCTACATCTACACTGGCCCCTATTACGGAATAGGGATGCTAATGTAGAACTTTGGAAAAGGCAAATGCATGGGGGATTTTAATATCCCCCGCGGCATTTGCATTTTCATGGCCGCCGCTTTTTTCCAACTTGGAGATAAGCCGGAGAAAAGCGTCCAGACTGGCACGATCCTCTGGAATAGGGCGCCAGTCTGGATGCTTTTCTCCGGCTTATCTCCAAGCCAGAAAAAAGCGGCGGCCATGAAAATGCAAATGCCGCGGGGGATATTTAAATCCCCCATGCATTTGCCTTTTCCAAAGTTCTACATTAGCATCCCTATTATGGAATAGGGGCCAATGTAGATGTAGCCATGGGCTGGGTCTACATTGGCACCCTTTTCCGGAAAAGGGATGCTAATGAGACACTTCGGAATTGCAAATGCCGCATGCCGCGGGGGATTTAAATATCCCCCGCGGCATTTACATGATCATGGCTGCTGCTTTTTTCTGGAGAAAAGCGCCAGTCTAGATGGGATCTTGCAGAAAATAAACCCTTTTCCGGAAGATCCCTTAGTCCTACTTTCAAGTAGGACTAAGGGATCTTCCGGAAAAGGGCTTATTTTCCACAAAATCCCGTCTAGACTGGCGCTTTTCTCCGGAAAAAAAGCGGCAGCCATGTTCATGCAAATGCCGCAGGGGATATTTAAATCCCCCGTGGCATTTGCAATTCCAACTGGTCTCATTAGCATCCCTTTTCCGGAAGGGGTGCCAATGTAGACACAGCCCTGAGTGACAACAGTCACTGGTAGGACTACTTCTTGTCAGTGAAGGAAATGCATCACATGAGCTCCTGTCTATGCTGAATCATGGGAGATGTAGTCGAGGTAAAGAATGCAGCTCAGAGGAAAATGGGAGCACATGGTAGCTGAATTACAGCTGCCATGAGGCACCATGAATTTAAAGAGTTTGTTGTTCGGGTGTTCAGTGTTTTGGCGAAATAAGAACATTTTCTAGAGAAAAAAGCAGAGGCTTTCTGTTAAAATGGTCATATCATTGAAACCCCAATGCCCCATCAAAAGTTCTTTGATAACATTATCAACCAGCCCAAATCAGGGGCTGTCATTTCCTCCATCCCCCCCTCAATACACATCCAGGCCCTTCCTTAGATACACTCCTATCAGGGAGAGCACTGTAACCAATCGGACACGACCCCCCCACCTCTCCTTTCCATTGGCATCTAGCTAGTGACATACTCCTCTGCCTTTCCCTTCTTCCCTGACCTTGGCTTTCTTAGTTATAGTTTATGTTAAGCTTTTTATCATGTCTTTGGTATATAATCTTTAGTACAATGCAACTTCTTGTCCTCAAGGCCATGAAGCCCAATTTTGCCTCGAAACCATGTTGTTTATGAATATGTATGTGAGGTGTGAATGAAGAATGCCTCAGTTTAGGATCTGTGACTTTTAAGGCAAACAAAGACCCTGCAAGTAGATAAATTAATTGAGAAGTGACTAGAAAAGTCTCTTTGACAAAACGTAACATCATAGCAGAAACCTGGGACCGGCCCAGAAAAAGCAAAGCCTCCTGCAGATCCGAAAAGGGATCTCCTAAGGAACATCATGGTCAAGGCTCCAGGAAGCTGATGCTGGGCTAGCACTCCAGCCACCAGCAAAATCAAAAGTAGTCATGAGTGGTGTGGAGAGGATGAATAAAGAAAAATTATTTATTAGTTCCCATAATAGAACTAGAGGACACCAAATGAAATTAATGGGTAGCAGGTTTAAAACTAATAAAATAAAGTTGTTCTTCACACAGCGCGTAGTCAACCTGTGGAACTCCTTGCCAGAGGAGGGTGTGAAGGCTAGGACTACAACAGAGTTTAAAGAGAAGCAAGATAATTTCATGGAGGTTAGGTCTATAAAAGGCTATTAGCCAGGGGATAGAAATGTCATCCCTGGCCTCTGTTTGTCAGAGGCTGGAGATGGATAGCACGAGACAAATCACTTGATCATTGTCTTCGGTCCACCCCCTCTGGGGCACCTGGTGTTGGCTACTGTTGGCAGACAAGCTACTGGGCTAGATGGACCTTTGGTCTGACCCAGTACGGCCATTCTTATGTTCTTAGTCTACACTGCACTTGCAGCCTGCCTTCAAACTGCCAGCATGAATGTGATGTATGTGTGTAAGTATCACCTGACTCTTAAGACTCTGTACCAATAAACAACCCCAAAAGCAATACTGCTCCAGCCCACCCTTTGTCTGGGTTTGGTCCTCAGCAGGTCTGAGGAAGTACAACAGGTGCCTCCTTTTAACACATGCTCTGATCCACATTGCACTTGAGAGTGAAAAGACTCACAGTGTCAGGGTTGTAGCAGATGGCTTGGCATGCGTAGTGCGAAGTTACGATGGCGATGGAAAACTCCAAGATCGTCAACAGGAGCAGCATGACACTGGTCCCCTTTGCAGCACTCCACTGGTAGGTGACACAATGGGAAATCCAGTTCTGGGGGTGCAGAAATCCACTCCCAGTTCTTCTTCCCTCCCAGACACACAGAATTCTGCCCCTCAAGCTATTTAGCATCCTGGATAATTGTGAGGCATGGAGCCGCACCTCTGCCAGAAGATCACAGGATTCTGTTTTCTCCTGCATCTAGGGATCTGAGCTCCGGAGATGCAGCCATGTGTGAAGATGGAGGACTATACAGCCTGGGTTTAGAGGAAGTATTATGGTCTACTGAATCGTATTGGACTACAACTCAGAAGAGTTGGCTTCGATTCTGAACTCTGCCACCGGACTTCCCTCCCCTCTCCCTCAGTGCCCCATCTGCACAAAGTGGGGTACAACAAAGTGCAACACACATTTGGATCAAACCCTACCCTTGCTTTAATTTCTATGGGGATAGCACCTGGAACTCCAGTTATGGAACTGAGTCCAATTGTGCATGGTGTTGTATAACACAGAAGAAAAACATGGTCTCTGCATAATCTGACAGGGACGGGGGTTTTGACACTGGGTTTAATCAAGCAGAACCAAGTCAAGAAGTCTAGAGCTGAACACGTGGCTAGTTCCTGCCCTGGGGTAAAAGGCCTGGGACAATTCCAGGCCCCCTGCCATTTTAAACACATCTGTTAGGGGGATGGTCCAGGTAGACTTAACCTAGCCTCTGTGTTGGACGACCTGGGAGGGTTCCTTCCAGATGTACAGTTCCATGGCTGAGTCTGGCCACTTACCAACTCATATTTCCCGTAGTAGTCATATGATGTCTCATTAACAATCAGCTCCGCTATCAAAATAAGGATCCCAATGGCTGAGAAGATGGCACTAATGATATTCATTGCCAGACTTCCTCTCACCTGAAAGAGATGTGCGGAAGGTCAGGATGGGAGTCGTGTGACAAAGCTACTACCTTGTCTCAGGGGGTCCCACACTTCCACATGGATGGCACTTGCCTCAGAGGCTCACTCTAACCCTCCACCCTCTCTCTCTAGAGGCCAGGGTCACAGCCAGCTGACCCACTTCCATCATAGGCCAGCAAGGGGGTAGGTCTCTGTTGCCCCTTCAGGCTTAACAGGAACAGTTCAGCCTCTTGTCCAACAGGAGCCTGTCTCCCCTCTCAGGGGGTGTGTCTAGTGAATCAGGGGCTGAGGGGAACCCAGGCCTACCCTCTACTACAAGTTCCAGCCCCAGTGACCATGGCGACCACCAGAGCTGCTACAATTCACTGGGCCACTTCTCCATGGCTCCCGGCTTATATACATATAGCCCCATTCAACCTTACCTCAGGTTTTCTTTCTTGATACTCCCCAGTCCTGTGATAACACTCCTCCCCTCTAGCTCCTCCGAGCTCTCCTGATTCAGGAGAGGGGAGTCCTTACACAGAACTAGCAAGTCCTTAATTGATTTCAGGTGTCTTAATTGGCCCAAAGGTCTCAATTGACTCCAAATAAATTGGCCTCGGGTGTCTTACTTAGCCTAATTGTCTTAACTGACTCTTTGCTGGCTTATTCCGTGGCCAGTATATCTGCCCCTGACTCTTCTGCATCCCACCAGCCTGAGTCTGTCACAGTGGGTGGAAAGTCGGGTTGGTTAAAATAAGAAGCAGCCCACCTGGCCTGAATCTGTCACAGTGGGTGGAAAGCCAGGTTGGTTAAAATAAGAAGCAGCCCACCTCTATGTTCTGGAAATGCTCCTACATGTATATGTTTTGGGCAGAACGTAACTGTGGGTTTTTAGCAATTATTTAATGCTCTTCTTAGGCAAAGCTTTTCAGATGTATTCAGATTCCCATTGACACCCATTAGATTTTAAATGACAGTTTTAGCGTGTCACAATTTTATTTGATAGGGAAAAATAACTCCGCGATTATTACTACTTCACCCACCTTCTCCCTCTCCAACATTTCTTCTCAGTGTTCTTGATGAACAAGTTCTCTGCTCCTTCCCATCAACCAGCTTCCTGGATAGTGCTCTGGGTGAAGCAGAGCTAAACTCTAATAATCCAGGTTAGGAAAAAGGAGGAAACTCTCCCTAGAGACTCACCAGACAGGGTTTGTGATGCTTCTCAGCTGCAACCGAGAGGGATCCAGAAATGACAAACTGCCCAGGGAAGAGAAAACCATCATTCACACTTACAAGAAAGATTGCTTCTCGGAGACAGACTGTATGTGGGGAGAACAAGGGCAAAGAATGATACTTCCAGTTATAATAGCTATACCTAAATACATAAGAATGGCCATACTGTGTAAAACCAAAGATTAATCTAGCCCAGTGCTCTGTCTCCTGACAGTAGCTAATGCCAGGTGCCCCAGAGGAAATGAACAGAACAGGCAATCATTGAGGGTATGTCTACACTGCATTCCTCCTTCAAGGGAAGAATGCAAATGTAGACACCCAGAACTGCAAATAAAGCGGGGATTTAAATATCCCACACTTCATTTGCATAATCACATAATGGCGCTATTTCATGAAAAACAAAACAAAACCCGGAGTTATTTTGAGAGAAAACCCTTTCCTCGAAATAACCCTTAAACCTCAGGTAGAACAGGTGATGTGGGGTAGCTGGGATAGTGAGTGTGGCTGGTGGCCAGTGTTCCCGGTAAGAAGTGCACCTGTGCAGCTCAGAAACCATTCAAATGCCACCCATCTGATTAGCAGAGTGCCCACAGCGAGGTTTTGTGTTTCGATTGGTGGTGCACATTCACACATGCCTAGGTGCACATAAAATTTATTCTTCACATAGGTGGAAATAATCCACTCACTGCTGGAAAAGATTTGAGAGGACATTGCTGGTGGAAGGCACCTGTCTTTCAAGCACCCGTGGGTGGGTTTTATGAGGGAGTGAAGTGGCATGTGGGGAAGGTTTTTGGAAGCCAGGTCCAGGGCACTGCATGATGCAGGACAGCAAACTAACGATCTGCTGAGCAAGGGGAGGAAATGTCTGAGCAAATGAGATGGGCCAAAGATCTATCAAGTGACAGCAGCAAATGAGGCAGCAGACTGAGTTGAGCCAGTTTGGATGGACCAATGTTCTCCCATATCCCCATGGACAGACATCTGCTGCAGTATCCTGCAGTGAACATATGCTGCGCCTCTTCCCCTGTGTGAGTAGCTGTTGGTAGAGTAAGTTGTCATGGGGTAAAAGGGAAGGTCCTCTCAAGGACTGATAACTGGTTAAGGAACAAGAAACAAAGGGTAGGAATAAATGGTAAGTTTTCCAAATGGAAAGAGGTAACTACTGGGGTCCCCCAAGGGTCTGTCCTGTCTTATTTGACTTATAAATGATCTAGAGAAAGGGGTAAACAGGAAGGTGGCAAAATTTGCAGATGACACCAAACTGCTCAAGATAGTTAAGATCAAAGCAGACTATGAAGAGCTTCAAAAAGATCTCACCAACCTATGTGACTGGACAACTGTTACCTACCTGCTCTGTGTTCTTGGGGAACCAGAGCATGGCCACCTGCCAGCCCTGTGATTTTGGGGAGCCAGGGAATGATACTCATGGAAAATAATCCCCCTCTCCCAGGCCTCTGCTTGAATCAAAGACAAAGTAACAAAAAGGCAGGAGAAGACACAGCTAAACCACTCCAGACAAGAATTAAGGATACACCCCAACCTCATCTGCATTGAAGTAGAACAGAGAGGCTTCTCCATTAGCATACAGAATGGAGAACAGCTCTTCCAATGCAGGAACTGCACTGAACTATGGGATACCGAAAGCAGAAAAGCACTGCCTGATGGGAAATCTCTGCTCCAGATGCTAATGAACCCAGGCCTGCTCACCCCCAAACTAGTCATTATCAGACCAATTCTAGTAATGGATCCTATTGATATCCTAAATACGGAAGCTGCTTAGTTGCATTGTGAGCTCTTTCAAACCAGGCATGATCAGTCTCTATTGTCTCGCCTCTGTTTACCCATAAGCAAATCCAGTGTTCTCCTTGAACCATTGTCCTGTCCCTACAAAAACACCTGCCCTTGCTCAGGAAAAACTGTTCTGATGCCTGGATGTAAACTTAGCATCAAGTCCATTGAGACTTCGTCATCTCCTGCCTGATCATGCTGAGGGCTCGGCTCTGCTTGCCTCCTGCCCTCTGGACCCCCAGCTACTATCACCATCTGGGAACCCCGATCAGTGCAAGCTCCACAGAGTGGTGAGATCTCTCTCTCTCTCTTTCCTCCCACCTCTCTCTAGGCATAGCCTCCTGACCCTGCCTTATTGTAATCAGTTGTATTAGCTCTAACTAATGTTAGAGTTGCTAGCTCTAACATTCGTAATCAATTTCAATTTAGATTTAATATTGTAACTGTTCTTGTAATTGTTTTGTGTGTTTGGCTCCATATATATATATATATATATCTCACTACCCAGAAATAAATAACTTTCATTGTTAAGCTGGTTGCTTCTCTTTCTTTTCTCTCTTGCTCACTCTTTCTCGGGGGTGTTGTTTTGGCTTCCGCATTAACTCTGCAACAATGCTTCTTGTACCTAAGGTAAAGATCCCTGTAGTGCCCAAAAATCCTGTGGGGTTTGCTCATTGTGTGGTTTACCAGAAGAATGATTGTGGTTTAAGAGTGGGGATAGGGAGGTGCTGAATGGGGGAGAGGGGGGGAAGAGGGGTCATATGAGGATGGCATCTTAAAAGTGCTGTTAAACCCAGTCCACTGAGTCCAAAGGCACATGAGGGTACAGCGTGGCATTGCTGTTAAATCCAGCCTCCTGAGTCCAGGAACATATAAGGGGTCAGCTTGTGAGTGCTGATTAACCAGTCCTCTTAGACGTGCTCTGTTAGTGGGTGTGAGTGTCCATGTGTTTCTAAGGTGGGAAGAACACAGTTCCTGCAGGATTGCTCCATTGGGAGGGGAATTGGCAGCAGGCAGAATTCAGCTGCATATGAGAGCACAAGTAGCACAAGCAGCACACTGATAGAATTATTAACTCCCCCCCCCAACCCCATAAGAGTAACCTAATAAATGAGTGATGGGCAAATTCCCCAGAGTGATGGGCAAATCTGAAAACACAACAAAATGGCAAATTAAATTTAATGTTGATAAATGTAAAGTAATGCACATTGGGAAAAATAATCCCAACTATACATATAATATGATGGGGATTAATTTCACTACAACTACTTGAGAGAAAGACTTTGGAGTCATTGTGGATAGTTCTCTGAAAACATCCACTCGATGTGCAGTGGCAGTCAAAAAAGCAAACAGAATATTAGGAATCATTAAAAAATGGACAGAGAATAAGTCAGAGAATATCTTATTGCCTCTATATAAAACCATGGTATGCCCACATCTTGAATACTGCAAACAGAAGTGGTCTCCTCATCTCAAAAAAGATATATTGGCATTAGAAAAGGTTCAGAAAAAGGCAACAAAAATGAATAGGGGTTTAGAACGGGTCCCATATGAAGAGAGATTAAAAAGACTTGGACTTTTCAGCTTAGAAAAGAGGATACTAAAAGGGGATATGATAGAGGTCTATAAAATCATGACTTGTGTGGAAAAGTGAATAAGGAAAAGTTATTTATTTATTCCCACAATTTAAGAACTAGGGGTCACCAAATGAAATTAATAGGCAGCAGGTTTAAAACAAACAAAAAGAAGTTTTTCTTCACTCAGCACACAGTCAACCTGTGGAACTCCTTGCTAGAGGATGTGGTGAAGACTAGAATTTTAACAGGGTTCAAAAAAGAGCTAGATAAATTCATGGCAGTTAGGTCCATCAATGGCTATTAGCCAGGATGGGTAGGAATGGTGTCTCTAGCCTCTGTTTGTCTGGAAATGGATGACAGGAGAGGTATCACATGAGGATTACCTGTTGTGTTCCCTCCCTCAGGACAAGCTAGCCATTGTTGGCAGACAGGCTAATGGGCTAGATGGACTTTTGATCTGACCCAGTATGGGTGTTCTTATGTTATTATATTGAGAGCTACTAAGTATCTGTTACTTATCGATGGTAGCTATAGTCTGCATTGTCTTTTGATACAGAAAGTTTGAAGTAAATAAGGAGGAATCAGGAAATCTGGATTCTCTATTCACTCCTGCCACAATTCATCTGCATTATCTGGGATGACTCTATTAGTCCCTTGCTGCCTTAGGTTCCCCATCTGTAAAATGGGGATAATAATATCTAACTCACTATTGTTTTATGTGGCTTAGCTCACTTATGTTTGGAAAGTACTTTAAGATCCTGAAGGTGTTCGTCTTGCCATCTATCTATCTATCTATCTATCTATCTATCTATCTATCTATCTATCAAGATCACTACAAAGCTCATCGATGGGTAAACCATTAATGATAGACAATTATTATATAGCCATGTTGACATGCTTCCATTTATTCTACTCACAAAAAGTCCTCCCCAGAAGGGATACCCTCCAATGACAGAGATGGAAGCGTAGTGGTAAATGAAAACTGCAGCAACACCACCAAAGCCAATGAGCATCAGCCCAGTCAGGATCTGGATGGCCTGTGGGAAGAGAACGGGACAGTAAGAGGAGCCAATTTCTTTCCATCTTGTGGAGAAGCAAGGCACCATGTTCTGAGCAAAGCTGATTGGAAATTGGAACTTCCATCCTATGGGAAATTCTAATCTTAAAACAGCTGAAATCTGAAAATTTCAGGTTGGAAATGTTGAAACATTTCATTTCACTTTGTCACTCTGACTTGAAATGTTTCATTTAGGTTTGGTTAACAGTGAACAGAGTCTACCTGAGTCAGTGCTTTCCTTTATGGGAATTGTAGTTGGGGTACCCTGTACCCCCATTCTCTTTTAGGGGTTAGACTTTCCAGTTGGAAACAATGAGTAGTTCTGTGGCATCTAGAAACATATATGGGTTTTACCCATGAGCTTTCGCGGGTAAAACCCACTTCATCAGATAAGCTGGAGTAGAAATAATAGTCCAAGATTTATATAACAGCAAAAACAATTACCTGTCAACAGTAGGATCCATGTTGATGAACTTAAATATATAGGCTGGATGTGTCCTATTCATAGCTTTTGATATGAAAATGCAAATGTCAAAGGCAGAGGAAATTGGCTTTGTAGTGTGTTAACCAATTAATATCTTTATTCAAGCCCAGGTTGACAGTGTCACATTTGTAAGTGAATCCAAGTTCAGCTGAAATTGCTGAAGCTACATTGATTTACACCTGCTGAATAGCAGTCCCTTCCTCCCCAAGATGCCCCCTTGGGGCTGTTTAATTCATTTAGTTACAGAAACAGATGGTTTACAATCCTTTCCCCCCTATTTCTCCTTTGCTCGACTAAGCTTCATTTCTCCCTGCTTGGGTAGCTAGGAGGATTCTGTGGAACTCGGGGTGTTTTCTCTTCCTCCCTTTCCCAAAGCAATGGAAGTGTCAAAAAGACATCAGATCTATCTGAGTCTGTGAGGTGCAGTGTCACCTGGTGGTGCTGGCTTCTTGGCAACCTTCCCTTACAGCAGTTGGTCAAAGTAAGAAGGAAAAAGGCAGTGTCTGGAGTTTGCTCATGCTCTGTCATTCACTGACCGGTTTAGGCCTTTTGCTATTGAAATGACTCATCCTCACGCACCAAGAGCAAAGACGACACTTACCCCCAGGGTCTTGGGCTGTGCTTTGAGGAATCTCTCCATCATCCCTGCTTTCCTCAGCTGTGCGACCTGTTCACCTGGACTCCCGGGGTACATTGACCCAAGCGGTTGGTTCCAAGGGTCCATGACTCTGAACTGCTGAGGCCCGTATTGCATCACCTGAGGAGTCTGGGAAATGGCCCCAGAGACCCCCTGGCCTTGTTGGAGGATGCCAGCGCTGTTTGGGGGCATGAACACAAGCACCCCATTGGCCATGCTTCCTGGTGCTGCCATGATGGCGAAGATGCTGCAGAAAAGAACGATTGACCCAGATTAATGTTTTTTTTTTTTTTTTTTTTTTTTTAAACCCCAGATTCTATTCTCTCAAGCCTGTGCAACCACCTTTTGTCCCATTTCAGTTTCACTTCCTGGTCCAGAGTACTTTGTCCCTTTGCGTGGGGGTGTTGTGGGAAGGTGGCAGCCCCAGCGGCTCATCCCCGATCAAGCTGTTATTAGTCAGTGATATCAACCCCTTTCCAACCTCTGACCCCTGCCTCGTTTACTCACTGGGTAGTGCCACATTGTGGAGAGCAACTGAGGCATGAAACCCTGTATCCGCGCAAGCAAATTGTGTCACTGCTCCACTCTTCCGTATGAACATTTTCTCATGGTCCAGCAGGTGCCACTTGTTCTCACAGGAGCACGCTACATAAAGCCACAGATTTCCCCTTTCTGCTCTCCCTCCCACTTACCAAGTAATTGGATCTGCTGCCCTTTGAATTCTGACCTCATTTTCCTCCAAGAATCCTGAAAGGGTCTCATGGCATGCCCTGAATCGCCAAAGCCAGACATTTAAATTCCTCTGCACATTTGGTGAGAGACCTGAGATCCTGCCAAAGGGCATGGAGAGCAGCCTCTTCGGTATTGTCTTGATTAGGATAATCAAAGATGCTCTCCATTGCCTGAACAAAGTTCTCAGAGTGTTCAGGGCGATGCCTTCTCCTATAGGGCCACCAATCCTCAATGTTAACGGTCACCCAAGGAGAGTGTTTGACGATGCACTTACTCTGTTACCGCAGCTGCTCTCCTCTGTCTAGCCGTGGGCGATTCCAAGTCTCACCAGGAAATTCTTACAGCTCATGCAAATGGTGATTTTATTAGAGTCAGACTTTGGAGTCCTGCAGTAAAACAGGGCCCAAGAGGAGGACGGGCTGAGTGTGACTGACAGGGCAGGATTCAAAGTCCTGATTCCTCCCCTCATCCTCTCATAGGGTGTGTCTAGACTACATGCCTCCTTCGACGGAGGCATGTAGATTAGCCAGATCGGAAAAGGGAAATGAAGCCGCGATTAAAATAATCGCGGCTTCATTTAAATTTAAATGGCTGGGGCCCGCCCC